TATTATATAATACATAATATAATATTATATAATAGTTATATAATGTATCCTTGTTCATGGTTCATTTACTTTATTCACAATGCATCATGGGATGAGTCTTTGTATTGTTGTTTGATTTTCAAATACTTTTTTGGCTTGGATTCAAATTATATAATGCTGTAATTTATCTCAGTGCTGATTGATGTGGTTCAAAACTTGTCTTGTCTAGAATATCTTACTGAAGAAAAGTGAGCCGTAATTGTTGCTGACTATTGCTCTTTTGACTGCCATTGAATGCCAAGTGCTCAAACACACACATAAAAAATACTCATAAATGTCCACTCAACAGGAAGCATATTCTCTTCTTTTCAGGCCTTTCTGATGACTGTCACTTCCTCAGTTTCAAAGAGTTTAGAAACAGGACTCTTTGGACATAATGCATGACCTTGCTCAAGGCAACCTTGTGCGTACGCAATAAAGAAAAATCGCTCCATTCCAGTGCAACAGGCATCTTTGTTTGTAGAGTTTTGTGTGTTTATGGCAAACCAGTTGGATCTGTTTTAGATCCTAGGTAACCAGTTTTATTTTTTAGAATTATATAACACTGACACAATATACACAACTGTCAAATATTATCCTTATATTGTAATCATTATAAGCACAAGTTGTAATATTTGAAATACGTTTGCTGTGTCTACTAAACTCAATATATTAAACAATACACTACAAGTCAAAGGTTTTTGAACAGTGTTTTTTTAAATGTTTTTTTTAAAGAATTTTCTTCTGCTCACCAAGCCTGCATTTATTTGATCCAAAATACCGCAAAAGCAGTAATATTGTGAAATCTTTTTACTATTTAAAATAACTGCTTTCTATTTGAATATATTTTAAAATGTAATTTATTCCTGTGATCAAATCTACATTTTCAGCATCATTACTCCAGTCTTCAGTGTCACATGATCCTTCAGAAATCATTCTAATATGCTGATTTGCTGTTCACAAAACATTTTTTTATATTATTATTATTATTATCAATATTTAAAACAGTTGAGTACATTTTTTTAAAAGAAAGATCCAAACATTTATCTGAAATCAAAAACTTTTGTAACATTATACACCATCCCATCCAAAAGCTTGGAGTCAGTATAAATTGGGGGGGTTGGGGGGGTTATAGAAATTAATACTTTTATTTAGCACAGTTATTTTACATAGTAAAAATATTTCACAATATTACTGCTTTTGCTGTATTATGGATCAAATAAATGCAGGCTTGGTGAGCAGAAGAGACTTCTTTAAAAAGCATTAAAAATCTTACTGTTCAAAAACTGTTGACTGGTAGTGTATATGTTGTAAAAAGCGATATATAAACAAACTTCATAACAGCATTACCTGTAGCCTGAGGTGAGCAGGCTGTTACTGTGAATCACGTAACTTGTGGAATGCAAGCAACTTTAAGGTGTGTCATTAAAAAACACACAGGGAAGATAGAGATCTATGTGCATCCTGTAGGAATACCCATTTGTGGTGGTGCAAAAGGGGGGTTGTTTTGTAGCCATTTCTAGCTGGATGAGAACTAGATCCAACTTGAAAGATGTTGAAAATTTCTAGAAATCAAGTCGTGACCAAGAAAGCATAAATTTAGCTTGAAATCAAACACAACTGCCGCTTTAAGTATGAAGCAGCAAGAAAGAAGACAAATGTTTTCTGTGTAAATCAAATCAAAGATGGTCAAATTTGTCTATCCTCAGTAACACAAGTTTCTCATTATATAAATTTGTTCTCTGCTGTCTTTAAAGGGTCAGTACAACAAAAACAGAAAACTGTCATCATTTGCTTAGCCTCGATGTATGACCTTCTTCCACCATGAAGCATTTTGTGTTCCACAAAAAAACAGAAAACTGTCATCACCTTCTAACCATAACCTTTTCAAATGTACCCGAGTGTGTGTAATTCATGACAGAATTTTCATTATTGACTAGATAGATAGATAGATAGATAGCTCCTTTTCGTGAAGGACTGGTAAAACTCAACTCACACTCTGGTCATTCTGATTGGCATAAATGCCTTGTCTGCCATCTCCAATGTGACTAGAAAACCCTGGTGTTGCTGAGAGGCGTATTTCTCTCTGCAGTTTGGCCAGATCTCGTCGGTACAGTCGAATCTTTGTTGACATGGGGGTTCGGAAGGATGATGGAGCACCAAACAGCTCCTGTTCCATGCCCTGAAGCTGTGAGAGACATCGCATATTCACTGATAAACTCAGAAGAGGCGGTCAGTCGGTTCTCATGTTACTGTGTATTTACATACACTATCATTCAAAAATCTGGGGTCAAAAAGTTTTTTTTATATTTTTGTAAGAAGTCTGTTATGTTAACCCAAATCAGCATTTATTTGATGAAAAATACAAAAATAAATATAAATTCTTTATAACATTATAAATGTCTTTACTGTCCATTTTGAATCAATTTAAAGCAACCTTGATTTTTAAAAGCATTAACTTCTTTTTAAAAATCTCACTGACCCCAGACTTTTGAACAGAATAGTGCAAGAAAGAATAATATGAATGCGCTAATGTCCTGTGTAATTGTTTTGTAGAGCTGCATATACTTACATTTCCCATTTAAATTACAGTAATGTCATATACAATTTAACAGCAGTACAATGCAACAATAGTAACTTGTACAGACAATGCGATTGATTCAAAACACTTAACACTGACTGGTTTGTATGTCCTGACAAGACAGACTGACACTGGTTGTCTGAAGCACTACTGCCACCTGGTGTTTAAAATTCAATAGTACAATAGTCTATCATTCAAATTAAACACAAATTGAATGCAAATCATTCAAAACCTTCACTTTCTCTGCTCCTCTCTGGTTGAATGAGCTGTCAACCTACACCCAATCTGCTGAGACCATCACAATTTTGTTTCCTCATCTAGATTTCTAATAAACTTGGCATGGTATACTACTATGAATACAGTTGGCTTTGTGATCAGTTAGTTGCTTGTTATGTTTCCTTATTTGATTGTCGCATTGGATAAAAGCGTCTGCAAATGTAATGCAAATGTCCTCAAGGTTGTCACTATTTAAAAGTATATTTTTTTATACAACAGTACTATGTCAATGCCAAAATATTTTAATAACAGAATATCATGAAACTTTCCCATCATTAAAGGCACAATATGTAATTTTCACCAAAATCTTCCCACACAGTGACGTAGACATGTGGGGGCGTATTAGAACAAGCCGTTTTAGGTAGGCGTGGTTGACTCTTATAAAGTTAAAAGACTTTTATAAAGAATACATTATATACAAGAACATTATATTAGATAATGTAAGTACACAAGTCAGCAAAATATATAACACTGTTCTAGTGGTTTTTGGATATTTTAATAAAAAAAATCTTACATATTGTGCCTTTAACAACTGCTTAAAGCTAATGACAGCTGGCAAATCAAATGTTATTTAATATATACAGAGAGAGAGAGAGGATTTCAGAAACTTACAAATTACTATAGAAATTTCCACTTGACTTTTCTAAGCCTAATAATCATAATTTTAAGATTGTGTCCAAACTTTCAACCTATACTTTCAGCTAGTAGTGCCAATCCAGACCGACAACTAACTTACCACTTCTTCAGCCTCTGAAACACGCTCATCAAAGTCCCTGACAATCCTCTTCCTTTCCTCTGGACAACACAAAAAAAGTAAATTAATCTCAATAATGTGTTAGTATTTATATACCATAATAACAACATGCAGATTACACTGAGACAACTGACACTGGTTCATAATGTTGAATCTGTAGCCTTTTAAGGCACAATAATAATAATAATAATTTTGAGTGAAAATAATTTGAGTGAAAAGTTTGAAAAGAAAAAACTTATGCTTAAAAAATATCAAATCCGTGTTTCTGTCCTACACTCTTCTATATCAGTATATGCACTCAACTGTCTGAATACTCTCTATGAGTCCACAAGGCGAACAATATAAACATCTGAAACGTCAAATCCTGCTGTCATGATTGCGTTATAGATATAAAGAGTTTATTTACCTCCCTGGCACCTCTGCGCTCGTTCAGGCGTCAACTTCACTTCGTCATATAGAGATCTGTACATCTCATGCAGCTTTTCAAACTCCTCAGTAGACATATTGGAGCGACTATATCGAAGCCTAAAGCAAAGAAACGGTAGTTCTCGAAGTCAATGAGAAGATAATAAAAGAAAAGCAATTTGGCGTTTGTTGTTGTCTGTAAATAGTGAGAAAAATCGGCTTTTCAAGCAATAACAAGATCCTCGGGACAGCAGCAGACGCTTCCTTGTCGGACCTCGTGATTATAGATGGCTTTGTTTTTGCCTGAAAACAAAAAGAGGGAAAAAAGACCCAAGACTTTATTTAATAAAATATAAACACCTACAACGCAGTTATATAATAATATTTATGTATATTACTTATACTTTAAGATACCTCATATTGCTAAATTTAACAAACGTGTGGGACTGTTCAAGAGGGCAAACATATGGACAGCTTGCGTCATAAATACTTTGTGGGATCTGTAGTTTACATTTTCCAATAAACCCAAGTAAACAGGTTTTGGAAATATGATCGGCCAGTCTACACTTCAACTGAGTGACAGAGGAAAACGCGATCACATAATATTATCTGTAATTAACTTGCATAAACGACTGATAAAGATTATATTATGGCTTAACCCAAATAAATAAATAATAGACGTTCATATTCGTTTTTACGATTTTAGTTCCTGGAAAAAAATATTTAATTTTATTTTCAAGACACTTTATTGCCATTGTTTAAATCACACACACACAAGAGACATGTAAAAAAACATTATATTTAATAAAAATATTACAAAAATATAGTAGTAAATGTAACTAAAATAATAATTTTAAAATAAAATAAATGTTCAACAAGAATGACATCCATGACATGAAGATCCATACTATTTTGTTGTCCAGAGCATGGAAACTACAATCCCATCATTCCCTGGGATCACAGCTGTAGATGTGAGTGGGAGGCTGAACACATTCACACCGACAGAGACAGACAGGAGTAAAGCAGGCTGTTTCATGATGCTTATGCTCGTGGTTATTGCGGCTGGTTTAGGGGTGGTCGCGCTGATTTTAAGGTTGTTTTCTCCTCAAATCAGGTAAGCAATTCTGTCTTTTTTGTCGAGAAAGCTTCATGCTATTCAGCCCCATTTATTTAAAAAAGACTGCATGCATGCATACATTCAGTCAGTCAGGCAAGATTCATACGTTCACAAGAGCATAATGTGCAGAAGGGATGAAAACATTATGAGGTGAGACTACGACTGAAATCCCGGTCTATGGATGTAAAGAAAGCATTGCAGCCACTGAAGCGTACAGCCCAGAGCAGTATGAATTACATTAAAATCCGGTTAAATAGTCACAACTGTTAATCGAACCAAACACGACCTTTAAACAACAGGTAACACATTATACATTTAACACGATTTTATTTACTGCGAGTGTAAAATGCGCTTGCCACTATGTTGATTGTTGTCCCGTGGTGGACCCGCCTCCACTTGACATGAGCTGCTCTAGAAAGCGACCAATAGAATGGCAGCCTGGGCGGAGTCGCCCCGCCCATCTGCGTTACGGCGCTGCGTCATTGGCTCCAGTGTTTGGTGAAAGCTTTCTGCGTGGGATGGAGCCCTTAACAGCTAGAAGTGTTGGCTGAATGCATATAATTATTGTTTAGGACTGCCTGTTCTGAAAAAAAAAAAAATCAAACTGAATACAAAAAAATATTTTTTTTTTCTATTATTATACTACGATTATATAACTGTACTGTATATACACACACAACAAACATAGTACAGGTATACAGTTAGTTATAGTACAGTTCTCAATATATATAGAAAGAGAGAGAACTGTAGAGAACATGGAATGACAGAACAGTTGCCTGGATGAGCTGTTAGTTAGATCCTGCTTCAGATATTTCAACCCTGACTGCCTCAACTGACCAATCAGACATCCATGAATAAACGTAGTATTTTCGCCTGTTTTTAGCCTTTCTGTTCTGATCTTTATAATATATTTTAATGTTT